AGGCCACTGATGTGAATCCCAACAAAACTGACAATCATTTTATCAACTCCCATTTCTTTACTCCCTGCAGTCACAGTGCAACTTTTAATGTTAAATCTCAAATAATTATTTTTTTAAAATTTACTCTATATCTTATTCCATATCCCTACTGCTTTCTTTCAGGACCTGGACTAAATTCACAGGGCAAAAGGGGCAACTTGCAGATAGGTGTCCTCTCTCTTTTGCTGGCAAGTAATTTCTGCATGCCCATTCATCTGCTGTTCAACCTGCTGTTGCCTGACCATTGGAAAACAGCCATTACAATGAATCAACATGGTCCTTGGATCCTCAAAGTACAACAAACATCCCCTTTACCTTTCCTCCTCAAATAAGCCCATGACCAAAATCATCCATACCCAACAGCGGCTGCCTGGTTCATGAACAACTGTGAATAGAGTGTCCTATCTCTTCTTTTCCTGTTCCCAAATATCAGTGGCAATGGGAAAAGTAGGGTAAGCATCTTGACAGAGCATCTAGGAGGACATCATCAGATGTGCTTCTGGTAGCCAAGAACTTGATTAGTATCTCTAACCAGGCAGTGTCAAAGGGTACCAACACACAGAGTATAAAACTGAACTGCTAATATTCAAGTTACTAAAAATAACATCCCTAACTGTGGTTTGGGTTGCAAAGGCACCACCTCTATCCTAAGATGAGTCATGAGGCACTGTAATCTGTCACCTGAGTATTACTCAATTAAGGGCCCAATCTTTTTCCATTTACATATGCTTTTGTTGTTTTACACTTCAAGTTAATAAACTTGGGTTTATTAACTCAAGAAGACTTGTTCACTCGTGTGCTGAGAATGCCTGTGAATCACAGATAACACAGTGCACTAAGATGTTACTTGGTGTAGAAGGAGGAAAATTGCTTTAGCAGAATATAAAAAAAAAAGTTAGCAAGAAGCTGTCTTGTTACAAGTGCAGACACTTATTAGTTATCAGTCATTAGTCGAAACTGATAATGATGGGCAGTCAAGCACAGTGCATCTCCTCATTGTTTTCAATGATGATAAAGTGCCGTCTGCTGCCAAACCGTGCCTCAAAATGGAGAAGGGTACTTAGACTTGCTTCAGATGAGCAACTGGGTGCATGCCAATTTTTACATGAACAGTCATAAGCATGTTCCTGCACAACAGGATGTGATCAAACTATTCAGAGCTGTAAAACCAGGTTTGCTTGCCAGTTATGTTATTGCTTCAAGATCAGAGACTACATACTTTGCCAGCCATGAAACCACTGCTTTTCCTTAACAACAAATTATACATCCTTAATATTTAAAACTCTATATAGAAGTGACAGAATTAAACACCCTCACCTTTACAGAATTAGTTAGGCCTGAAAACATATCAAACATACAATCTCCTAATCTCTTAATGAACTTTAAAAAAAATCACTTTCTTCAAGCTGTACCAATTAAAAGATTTCCTTTCTTATTTAAACCAGAAGAAAAGGAATTGTAATGACTAACCCAAGTCTTCAGCTGCCAACCCTGTAATGATACTAGCATTCCTGTCCATAAGGTGTGATGTGGCTAATAGCTGACTGAGACATTGTACTGTATTGCCTCCTGCTGGAAACCATTTCTTTAAGAGTATTTTAGGAAGATCACAAAATGTGACTATGCCATACTAAATGTCTGTCACTAATTGGATTAGTCAAGCAAGAAAGATTTTAGAAGAAAGGTAATAGTGTATTTCAGTCAACTGGAAAAGTAAGTTTTTTCCTTGAATGGGTTAAGACAAAACCAAACATTACAGATGAGGAAATGATGTTCAATTTCTCCTAACAGTCAGTATATTTCTCCATTTTTCTTTCAGAGGATCAGTAATAAAACACACTCAAGATTCTCAGTATCACACAATATCTGTTCACTAACAAACATATCTTAGCAAATACAACCAAACAGTTGAGTTTGTTTTTTTAAGGGGGTTGGTACAGGAGAAGGTGGATGTCAATGTTTAGCCATGCTTTAGTTATTTGTTTATTATTCACTTGAAAATACATACTAAAAGTAGCATTAAATATTTGAGTTTATACCAATTCATTGTTTTCACACATACAAAAAGTAGTTTGCATATTTGCTCAGCAATCTAGTGAAAGATCTAAGATTACATACACATGCACAGCTCACTACAGTGATAGAAGTGCCTCTATCTGCTTCCTAGTAAGAAATAACATTTGCATCGGAAATCTAAAAAAATATGCAGAGGTTCTTGGGTGTTACAGCTCAAAAAACCCACATTTTCATGACCTTTCCAAGATATGTACAGTGCTCTCCATTTTTTGAAGAATAAAAAAATAATGTAAGAAAAATTCAAGTAGAAGAATCCAAACTAGCTAATTGTCAAGTATGCTGCAACAGCAGTCCAGTTAAATGCGCCTTAGAAAAAGCATTATAAAACTACATTTAAAAGACCACTTGGAAGTATTCTGTATTTATAAGAAATGCACAGTTTGTAGAATGTCCATTCTCTAGCAATGTAATCCATCCTTCACTTGAAATCAGAACGTGCTTGAACTGTGAAGGCTTTTGTGTTATTGTTTCTCACTCAGAAAAATAAGAAATCCTGTAAGTAAAACCCCAAAAGCTAGATCCTACTTATATTCACTGTGCTCAATTGTCAAACACCAGGCTATTGTGAAGAAAATCATAGAGAAAAGTAACAGATGTAGCTTCATTAAACACAGTCAGTCCAAACCCTTGTTACTGTACAATAGTAGCTCTCTGCCATATGGAACTGGTTATGGTAGTCACTCAAATGACACTGCTGTGTCTAGCACCACACAACAGCAAGCAGGACCAGAGCAATCCAGTGTTCACATTTTGTGTCATGAAGCATTTAACTTCTATTGCCCAGTGACCTCTCAACTTTAAAAATGCATTTTCCAGAGGACAGCCACGCCATGCTAATGATTTACTCTATTTCTGCTTTGTCTCAGCCTGCTCTCATCAATTCCCCCCCTCATATTTGATGCCAGTGCCACCAAAAATAAAAAGATTTTAACTTGCAGATGTTATGAATGCCTGAGGCAACCCCAGATCCAACTTCCAATAATTTGCATTTGTTATGCTAAGCATATATATCCCCTGAATTATACCTAGTCCCTTTGTGGTCTAATGTAGGAATCCCTCTCCTATTGTTCTTGCTGTTAGCACTGTAATAACTACTGCTATTGCAATGTTAACAAAAGACTACTAATAATTCAAGTATGGTACGAATTCCCAAGGAATCATCAAGTGAGCAACACAGGTTGAAATGGTAGCTTCAATTCAAAGGAACTATTTTCTAGATTCAACAGTAACATATATTTGAAAACACATGATTAATAGAGTTTTATTAATAATAATTTTAAACAATTGTGGTATAAATTGCAAATGGTATCACAGTATTACAGCTTAATACCAAATATTTAAATTTTCATTTGGTGAGGATTTATTATTCTATTAGCTTATATTTTCAGCTGCAGTATCTACCTGTGCTGTTTGCTGATATGCCTAAAGATGGCTTTGCGAGTGGTGACACTTGAGCCATTACCATCTACAGTCATTTTCTTTATTAATTGCCAAGCTGATTACTTGGAAAAGATTATTCCTTAAACAGGCAGTTTAAAATCAATTAAATTAAAATGTATATTAAATGCCCTACAATGACATTCTTCTGACATTGATAGACATTTTATGGTCCAAATATGCCTGAAAATCTACTTCAACAAAGAAGCAAAAACTGGTGAAATGAAAATAAAATTATCAAAAGATCCTCCTCTTTTGTTAAAAGCTTTTCTCTTATAAGCTGCTCACTTTTCAAATGCCCTGCGCAAAGAAGAAAGTACATAAACTTTTGGCAGGACTATTGGATATTTCCCAGTAACTATGCTACTTGTTATTATTAAAAAATCGAAAAAAGTAGACTGAAAAAGTAAAATACCACCATCAAGACATTAACATCCTTCACAGTATATGCTTGACAGATGCACAAAATATTTTAAGCACCAGGTAGATGGGGCTTTCAAGGTTAAAGTAGGAAAGAATGAAAAAACAACAACCAAAAAAAAGTGAAAATTACAGTGTGTGTAGAGGAGACACTTTTATCAGAAGACTTCTCAATACAACATAAATTCAATCAACATTATTAATATCACAAACCTGACTTTAAATGTAGCAGAAATTAGTTAGATGTGAGCTAACTTTGGTAACTCACAATAAAAATCAAAATCTTCAATAGTGGAAGAGTCAGATGAAATTTGTTGCCTGGCATAAATACATAAGAAGGTTCATCCAGTCTAAAATCTTTTCTCAGGAGATACATCCCCTACTTCAACTGTTCCTCTCTACAACCTGCTCCTATTGAGTTAAATCTAGTTTAAAATTTAGAGGAAAAAAAGGTGGGTAAGACAATTATTGTTCTGTCAAAATAGGAAATTGCAGGGAATGAGTGATCTGAGTAGAGAAAACTCAGCTTCTTTCAAGTCACACAGCAGATGGGTAAGACTTTGAGAGTCAAGGACCACATGCTGATTTTTATCTCCTGAGTGTAAAGCAACAAAGGGAGGAACTGCTTGCATTGTTGCACGTGGTATTGTTACCTTCCTTTATTGTATATTTTTGCCACTTATATCCTTCAGTACTAGTTAACTGTCATCCAATGCATTTTACCAATACAGCATACTGCAAAACTAAGCCTTTAATAGCTTTTTAGATTGGTCAAGTCACTGAAAACTATTTTGTTTTAAAAAGAAGACAGTTAGTAATGAAGTGCAAAAAATACAAAAATAACTTGTCTCATGAACACATGGATGCCATTTTAATGGGCACTACTATCATGAAGAAAAAGTTCTTTGAGATTTTCAACAGAGAAAGTCAAATGAAATAATTTTCTTCCCCAAAAATAAAGTAAAAAAAAAAGGAATAAAATAAAACAAAATTTGGTATTGAGTGATTATATACTTGTAGAGACTTACTTGAGACAAAGCAGCATCCCGTTGTTCTATTACTGCATTCATTTCCTCAGCTATTATTTTCTTTTTACGTTCTTTGGTCCTGTGTATTCGGTTCAGAATTATAGCTCCATTCTTCAGTATATCTATCCCCGTGTCTGCATTGTTTATTCTGTTCAGTAATTCCTGTAATGTCTACCAACAGCATTATATGTTAGTCAGACATGAAGTTTTAATATATTTTATTTAATATAGGGTTTTAATTAATAGGCACATGTGAATTGTAAATTGACTGAGTGAAGTTATTGAATTTTCATATTGCAGCAAAGATGTACATTATTAGTGTGTCAATTCTTCTTTTTCCCACATCTTAGTTCTTGAAACCCACTCAATTGAACTTAAGCCTCTAAGATATAAGACTGACATCAAGAAATCTCCTCAGAGAATGGCTTACCATGTCATTTTCTTCAGGGTTAATATTTTCTAGCCTAGAAAAAAGGGACACAGAAAGCCTGATCAGTAGCATTTCCTTAGTGCAGCAAAATGAGTTCGCTTTTTAAATCTTTAGAACCTCAAGTAATTTCATTCTACTAGTCTTTAGAGTCAACCATGACACTGAACATATTAAAGTGCCACCTGCTCGACTCCATCTTTCAATAATGCTCCATATCTTCAGCACTGACTTCAGACTGTTAAGTTATTAATGTTTACTGCTATATATGACTACAAGGATCAATTGTTCATATGTGCTTAGATGAAGAAAGTTCCCCAGTGATAGAAATGACTGATGCTCTTATTTTATTTATTTCTGGGCTTACAACTTTTACCTGATGTATTTTTGTTGTTTTTACTGCACCCCAAATGTAACAGAACATAACTTCTGGGCAGATTTTATTTTCATTTTTAAGTAATTCTTTTTGCACCTCTCTCTTCCAAAATGAGGAAAAAAACCCAGTTAAAGTTTCCTTAAAAATATTTTAATTTTATATCTTGCATAAAATAGGAAGCTAAGGCAATTCTCTGCAAGGCCCTTATTTAATTCTGAAACAAACCCGCCTGCACTTTCCTCCCTTTCTATTTCAACAGAACATATATTGACCTGTCAAATACAAAGATGATACGAGGAATTTAGTCATACAGCATTGAACACTGGCTGTGCAAAAGCATTAAGTGATAGCACAAAAATTTAATAAATGGGTTAGTACACATTTTATTTTACCTAAGGTTAGTTAAATGGACAGAGATTTCTTTTCTGGAAAAATGAGCATATGAAAGTTACATTACCACTCCATTGCTACTTAGTTAATGGTGACCTATAGTAAAAGTAAGTCTGCCAGTGTCCTATGATATTTTAAAAGACAGGTATATTAAACATCTTCTAAACAGCAATACTTTTTCAACAGTGCTGAGACAGGCACTGCTCCAAAGCCATGATTTTAGCTAGCAAACATCATAGAACACTTGACAGCACATTATCACCTTTTCCTTTAAGGCATTAGTTTTACCGAATAACAGTACATAAGGCATAGTAAATCAACCAGCAGAGAAATTAATTCTTTAAATAAAAGAGAAATATTTCAGAATGTACTATCAGCGTACAACAGCTGGTAAATTTATATGGCATTCACAAGCAGCAACTACTCCAACATACTCAGTCGGCAACAGAACTAAACAAAATAAAGTAAAAGGTAACCTTTGATGGGTTTGACTTGTATTCATAAAGCAACACAAATCATAAAATAAGAAACATAATACATTCCAAATTCTCAGAACTGGCTCCTTGTAGAGTTCCTGCTTCAGGTTTTTAGATTGCTCTAAGTGCCACTTCATGTGGGACTTAAAAATGGATCTCCAGCTAGTTTGTATTCACAATGAAAGGAACAGTATTTGTCAAAGTAAATTGGCAGAACTGACCCGGCTTCTCCAGAGGACTTCTACCCTGCTAAAAGTGTGGGTCAACAAAATCACCCAGCCGACCAACAGGCTGGGTAAGCAAGACACATTAGGGAGAAAAGGGAGTGGGAAAAAGAACATGAACTTCTGCCATATGCATACCTTCAGCATACTACTGCCACAAGGGATCTGTCTGTAGGTATACAAACACCTCCTTAGGAGACAGTATTTTTGAAAAAGTAGCATCCAGAGCTGTGTATTTGCCCTGCTACCTCTCCCTGTACTGTGCACAGACAATGAGTGAAAACCTCATGATTTTAAAGAGCAGTAACCCAGGATTCCTTCTCCCCCCATTTCTAAACACATTCTGCTAATGTTACCCCCTAGGGCCAACAGGGCTGAAAGAATTTTGATTGTTACAGTTAAATAATGACAACAGAATTGCTCCAGCTGCTAATTTAAAGAAAGCATTAAAGCACTTGATAAAGGTTGGCAGGCTGTTCAATATTGCCCTCTTGTAAAGTTCTCTGATTGGAATAAGTCCAAAGCAGATGGAAGGAGTGACCTGTGCTCTAAAACTTGATGAGTGTGGCACAAATAGCCAATGTTCTTTAAACAAAAACAAACCTCTATGTGCTCCACGTCTGAGACAGAAAACTTGACCTTTTGAACAACGACCATAGGGAAGGAAGAAAATATTAAGGGTGGTAGTTAGAAAAGAAAGTTGGTGTTCTCCACAGGGAAATCTCTTATGCCAATTCTGAGACTGGGAGTAGAATCAGGGTAGCAGACTCCCCTATAAAGCATCAGAAAAAACACCCAAGTGGATGACAGCCACAACAATTGCTATTCTGTAAATGATAGCAATAAAGTGTAGCAGCTTGGCTCCAAGCTATCAGTCAAGGAAGTTACTGACCCTCTCCTGGGAGCAAGTACTATTTTTGCCATTATCAGTGTATCTAATGCCTTCTTCAATGACATGCTTTTGAGGAAGGTACTACACATGTTCTCTGAGAAATGGAATTTCTTCTCTTTTCTCATCGTTTTGCTCACAATTAAGTCATTTTTCCAGTACATCAGTAAAGCAGACAGAAGGGACTGAAAGGAAAACAAGTGAAGGTGTGCTGAGGGATTCATGTATGTCCAGAACTGCCACCCATTTGTCTATGGATTCCACTGCAGAAAAAGCAGCAATACACCAGAAACACAAAAGTCATTGACTAGGTTTGTTGGCCAGAATAATTAATTTTCTGCACGACTTGAGTGCTTTAAGCCTAAAGAACCTGAGTTTATGCTAACATTTCATACACAGTTTTAACTGATTTTTGGAGCCATACAAAACTTTCTTTATTCTTGGAACATACAAGATTAGAAGACTGACAGAAAAACTGGAGACTCAAGTAAGGTTTACAATCATGGGAATTTAAAGTACATCTGTAATTTCCTCAGAGACTGCTGTTTAAGGCAAGCTTTCAGATGCACATACACATAAAATGGGTTCTATGAAGATGTTTATCAAATTGTCCACTAATTCTTGTGAGTATGGAATCTCCTAATCCTGCTGCTGAGTCATACTTACTGTGACAGTGAGGCTACGACAAACTCTAGCAATTTATAAATTCTAGTAATGGTGCACAATCTATGTATAGATTATTGAAATTAGTTAAGATGACATTCTCTGGCCCTACCTATAAAAACACCCAAAAGAAGACAACTGATTTTCTGCCTTAAAGAGGAGTGTTTTTAGTAGAATCAATTATTTAAAACATAATTGCCTACCATGTAGTTAACTAACAACTGCACCTATTCAGTCTCCTACCATGAAAAACTTGTTTGCTTTGTATTTCTCATGGCAGAAAAATAAGAAAATTTCTCAGCCACTCTAGACCTTGGGGGAGTACCCTCTGGGGGATTAACATAGACAATAACCCAGATGATGACAACTCAGATGGAGAAGGATTACATGGAGGGGCAAACTTCAAAGCTGTCTATATCTCAGAGAGAAAAGAAACCATTCTTGATCTTTCTCTCCTGACTTGACAGTTTTGTTTAACATGAGATTGCCTATTTCTGTTGTGTTAACATGGTGTACATAAAACTCTATGAACTATTAATTGTATCCTTATGGCCTTGCAAACTGCTTCTCACCAAAGACAAGAAGAAAAACCTATATATTTTTACTACCTCACCCACACCATTAGTAGATGGAAGAAAATGTCTGGGAGCTTAAAGGCTTGATTGATTTCCTATATGTTGCAACTTTTGACTGACATTTTGCTTCTCTGTGTCAAAAGATCCCTAAAAAATGTCACATACATCTTATTTATCCCTCGATAAATCAATACCAAGGCTTTTGATTATATTTTTAATTTTTGTGATCAAAATTATTCACCTTGCTCTCAGTCTCCAGAGAAAAATACGGTCTTACAGGATGGTTAACAATTTAACCAATGACACAGTAAGACTAGCCCTGGTCTATGTCATCACAGAGAATTTTGTGCTAAGTTTTCCTATAACCACTGTCGAGCAGTTTATGACTGTCACAGACTGACACAACAGCCTTTTGCATAGGGTAGGAAATGCATACTTACTCTTTGAGAGACTGTTCTAAACGCTGGACTCGTAGAAATGCTTCATCTCTCTCTTCATTGGCTAACCTAAGCCTTGCCATGACAGCCTCATCACGTTCCCGCTGAGCAGAATAAACTTCTTCCACCAGAGCTGCAAAAGTATGTTCAACAAACAAGTTTGACATTGATTGCTAAAATCAATACTTTAAGGAATAAAATGAAGCTATGTGTTTTCAAATTCATCCCTGTAAAATCTAACAGGGCAAGAAAGTGATTTGCTGGGCATTCTGAATACTTGCTTAATGGAAAAGTAATTTTAAAGTTCAGAATAACATGAGACACCAGTAGGTTTCTTCTAGGACATTAGTAGGTTTCTTCTAGGACATACAGCTAAAAGTAATGATCCATTAAAGCAATTATCACCAGATTGCTACTATCTGGGTGGCACACAGATATTAAATATTAAAAATACTAGTACTTTCATAATCTGTCTATGGTATCACAAGAGTGGCACAGCCGGCATCTCTCTTTCTATGCCAGGTCTTTACTTTACTGGGTAATATACTGTTATATTATCTGTTACGGCATACATGGACCTGGGAGCATTAGGTACCAATAAACTAAGATTTACTGTCTATCCTTGGGAACAAACTAACACCTTCAAGTCATTTTTCATCCTGAGCTTACATTTTCTCCCTGCCTCTCCCCTGTCAATATGTCGAACACCATCTCTGGCACACTGCCAGAATCCTTACCTCAACCCTGCCTTCACTAAAATCTTTATTCATACTTTCATCATTTCCATCTGCAATACTGCAAATCTTTTCTCACACTTATCATAAAACCCTGTTGTTGCAATGTCTAGGGACTTTCAGGATGCCGTAAATAAGACCGCTGTCGCTCTAAGAGAAAGGATTCTATCCTCTCTCACTGTCACAGGCACCTCCAAAAAAGTCAACTGAGGTCTGTAGGTTCCAGAATTTTCTGTATACTCTCCTTTTGTCAACCCGGGGTTTAGCCACAGTGTCCTAAGACCATATTATGGTCTCTTTCAAATTTTAGCATTTATTTCTCAAGAACTTTCCGTATTAAGCCATTGCAGCTGGGCTTCCTTACTCTCTTCAGAACTCTCTGTTCCTCTCCAAACCACTGCTTAAATCATTAAACTAACACTCAAAGAAAGGCTTCCTCCCTCTTCACTTCAGCTTAGAGCTTTTATCCCTCCATTCTTACCTCAATTGCCATTAACTTTTTTGCCTTTATTTGTTATTTTACTCTTACTTCACCTTTTTACATTATTGTAGAAAAATTAATAGTGTGATATAACAAAACATTTTATTGCTCTTCACAGAATGAAACAATAGGATCACAGTAGCACATTTCAGTAGCAGCTATATTGCTGGCACAAAGTACACTTTATCAGTACCAAAAAAAACCCCAAAACTCCCAAGCCGACTGAAATATAAGAAGTGAAAAAATTCTATAAATTCATAAGCAGCTCAGATAACCAGGGATGTAAGATGACCAAGAAGATGAACAGAAAAAGAATCTGGAGAGATGAATTAGAAAGCTCAAGGTAGAAAAGCAATCCTCTTGTCCTCAAGATGGGGGGGAAAGTGTCACTGAGGAGTAAGGAAGCATTTTTTGCAAGTCTAGCAAAAGGTTTCAGGCTAACAGAAGATTAGAGAAAAGCAGACAGGGAAAGACTAAATGTTACTTCTGAAAGTGCAGTCTGTCCCCTCACAAAAATCTGCAGAGGAACTGCAAGCCCATTCATCAGGCCGGAGCTGTAAGAAGTTGTGTCCCAACAACAACAACAAAAGACATTCAGCATCAGAAGCACAGATCGTGAACTGTACACAAAATCTAGCAAACACTGACTTAATTCTCTTCTATTGAGTGGTGGTTTTTTGAGTTTTTTTTAAATCTATTTCGCCTGTTTGCAGCAAGAATGTTTTGCTTGATGTGGAATGGAAAAGCCAAGATGTGAGTAAGGCAGCTGCAAAACTGCATGCACACAGGTTGGTAGCCAGCAATAAGTTTGGAGCACCTGCAGAGAGTAAGTCCAATATCTGCAAAGGTAGGCAGCTCAGCAAGAATAAAAACAAACTGTATGAGGTAGGCTGTGCATTTCAGCTCACGAGACCTTCACTTTGGTTGCTGAGATCTGTGATGGCAGGGAAACTAGTGCCTCAGCACTGACTGCTCAAGTAAACTACAATACAACTGCTATGTCCTCACTGGATCTGGAATACACAAGCAGTTTGATTATATATGGTAATTATTACCTATCAATACCTTAATATTTTTGTTTAATATAGTTTTTCCAGCAAATTATGTCAGTTTATCGAGCATAATGACAGACACTTCACAGAGAACTCTTTCCATAAAGTTGCAAGTGGAAACACTATGCAATTTCCGTAATGAAAACAATTGCTGAAATTAATAGAAAGCTGTCTAAAATAACTGAAGATTTGGAACTTATTACTGTTCTGAGGTTAATTACTTTCCAGATTAGTTAACTTCTTTCTGGTCTCTTCAAGTGCATCCCTCCTTCTGTCAGATCTCAAAACATCCTCACCTCAGCAAGAAAAACCACAATTTGCTGACTCCTGCAATGGATCTTGAACATACAAGTACACTTAAGAGTGAGTGTTTTTTGGCATATCTAATTTCCTCTCTGTGTAATTATAACCAGTGGTAATAATGACCATGCAGGCTTTTAAAAGCCAGATTATTGCTTATTTGTCCTTAAACCGAAGTAATGTATATAAAACAGTATGAAAGCATTCAGAAAAAGAGATATTTTTAAGTTACTTAAGCATCCTGCTTATCTGAAATCTTACCATCTCTGATAGCAGCCCAGGAGCTAATTGCCTTGAACAGTAAACCCTTCCCCCACCCAAAGGTATATTACAAAACACTGTCTGTTAACTATTATCTATGGAAAAGTGATTTAAATTGAGCAACTCTTTCTTGTTGTTTTCTTATCCTTCCACTAAATTAAAACATTGGAGATAATATCCCAGTGATAAGATCCACCACCTAAATTTTAAAAAAAAATTATAGCCTCTCCATATCAATTACAAGGGTTTGGCTTTTGCTTCTATTTCTTAAAATTAATATTGTAAGTCAATTGTTTAATATTAAAACAGAATATGGAAAGCGTAGAAAATCATGTAAGATGCCTGCATGGTAATCTAAGTCAGAAAGTATATACTTAGCTACATGGCATTTTTAATATCACACAGCAATACTGACACTGACCAAAAGAAATTACTTATTTAGAAAATACTTAAAGTCCTTATCTAACTCATTTTAATGGTCTACAGAAAGCTAACTCACCTGATTTCTTTACCAGCCTTCTGAATTTAGGTTAGACATTTTTGCTATCCAATGCCTATACAATTTTGACTTTTATTTAATATTTTATGAATTCTTTTTTCCTATTATATGGAATATTATGACAGTTACACACTTGCAGGTAGTCCGAAGTATGATGTTGTTAACAATAACATTCACTATTCAGATTGAGCTATGGATGAGTCACAAGTAGCAATTCAGGACCATAAGGACCACAGCATTCCTCAAATAAGTCACTGAAATGAATACATATTTAGGTTTCAATGCAGTAGCAAACCAAAACATTTTGCATCATATCTAGGAAAACATGTGATGTATAAGTTGTCCACTTAAAAACTATGAGGGAGAGTGACAGGAAATTCCTCTATACTAAAAAGAGTAAAGAATATGAAGATTATCATCCCTATGTTTCTTAAAAATGCCAGGCAAAAACTGATTGAGAGTTAACATGCCAGGTTCCTAAGTTCAACTCAAGATAAGGCATACCCAGCAAAATACTAGCTCCATACTGGCACACTGACTTGATGCCTGATTCAATGAAAAAAGAGATCCAGCTACTTAGTCACCAACTGCTCTGGTTGACACCACAAAGTTTTTCTTGGAGACACCTTCCAGTGGTACACCAACCAATCCTACCCTGTCTTGAGGCCTGACCAAGAAGAAACACAAATTCTTATAGAACTCATGTTTCAAGCAAGAAAATGACACACAAAACCAAAGAAGGAATAGTCTAGTATTAAGCTAAAATGAATTGTATCATTTACTAATTCATACACATATGAATTTTAACATTAAAGAGTTAAAATATTTACATTCCAGGGTGCTAAGTTATGAAAAAAGGATTATTTTACAATGCTTAAAGATATTGTAATATATACAAATATAACACTATTATTTAGTTGCATAAACTTTATTTGTTTTGGAAGAATTCAATAATATCTTTCTCCTTGTAACTAAAATCTGCATACTCTAAAAGAGCTCTTTATTTTAAAAGAATCATTATGCTAAACTCATCAATTCTAAAACATTTTTAGTTTTTAGTAAAGAAAACAATTGTAAACAGAGAGCTTTTGTAAGGTAGATAGCTATTACAAAGTTCACTCAGAAAATCAATATAGCATTTTAGCTGGAATTTGCTCATTAAACACCCACAGCTCTAATGCAAATTATGATGGAATGAATAAAGCAAATACATATGCTTCTTTCTTTTTATTAAATGTAAAATCTACTGTTAATTGCATCTGGTATGTCATATAAACTTTTCTCCTTAACTATTAAATGGAAGCTTTTACAAAAGTCATTAGAGATTCTCTTTCTTTGACTTGTATAAATTTCAATATTTGTTCAGTAAAGGTTCACAGCAGTTAAATTACATTAACAAATATTATTAGCTACTATGTAAGCCAACTAAGTAAAATACTTATATTGCAGGTAAAACAAATCAATGGGTGTTTACAATAATATTTGGATATGTCCATTTTTAAACAAGCTTATCAAATATCATGTAATTCTTAGTCAAATGAGAGAGACTCAAAGTAGATTTTTTTATCCCAAATACTCAAATTTGTTTAGTAAGCTAATTGTTTTCTAATATGGGCAAAAGTAAATATGAAGAAGATGAACCATACCAAGTATGAGTTTACTGAGTCAAAGCAGTGTACATATTTTCTTAGTTGAACCTGATTCTTTCGGCAAACTTATCTCCTATACTTTTTAAACTACCTTTAAAACACAGCAGTACTAAGAAGGTGTGCTGGAAATCATTCTAGTTTAAACAGTGGTTCATGA